AGGGGGCCTCCAGACAACCAGGGCAAGCTGGAGCCTCCCTTTTGGGGCTTACCTGTGGAGGGAGAGCTTGGCTCAGGCGGAGAGAAGATTCCTTGCGTGTACGTTCCTGTCTTGGCTCTTATCAAGGGGTCATTGATTTCTTCAATGAGAGGGGTTATAATTCTAGTGTGTGGGAGTTTCCCCCACACCATGAGGCAATTCTACAGCATCAGCTGTGTGTCCCACCATTCAACTCAACTCTGATGCCATTTACTTGGCCATAGTGTCAGATTCCACCGATTAAGGGCTCAGTTCCGTCAGACTGCCCCCACTTGAGACGCACATTGCAAATTCAGGTTGTCACCTGTGCTTCTGACCAACTGGCTATATAGTGGAGGATCTCACGACCTCCTCCTTGGGTTTGATAATTTGTTAGAGCGGCTCACAGAACTCAGAAAGAGAAACATTGTGCTCACCAGATCACTAGTTTATTGTAAAAGGCTATAACCTAGGAATAGCCAAATGTAAGAAATGCACAGGGAAAGTATGGGGAAGGAGCACAGAGATTCTATGCTCTTCAAGTGCACCACTCTCCCCCCAAATCACCAACCCAGAAGCCATTTTGGGTTCCTATGGCGGCTTCATTGCATTGGCATGGCCGATTAAATCATTGGCCATTGGCAATTGATTAAGCCTCCAGCTCCTCTCTCTTCGCTGGAGGTCCATGAGTGGGATTGAAAGTTCCATCCCTCTAATCACATAGTTGGTTCTCCTGGCAACCAGCCCCCCTCTTAGGTCGTGCTGTAAAAGTCACCTCATTACCATAACAAAATAGGCCTTCTTTGAGTTCATCACAGGAAATTCCTAGGGTTTTAGGAGCTCTGTGCCAGAAATAGGGATGAAGACCAAATATATCTTTCTTACTGTAAATCACAATATCACAGGGTTTTTTTTTTCAGAAACTGACAGGGCCTTTCAGAGACCAGAGCTGCTCACCGTGGCGAAAACTGAGAGAAGTTTCTGGAAGGTATTCCATCTGTTAGTCTCTTTTCAGCCAGCAGATAATAACTCCAGATACCCAGACTCACAAAAGCAGGAGCCTCCTGAATCACAGGGGATGCACACAGCCTCTGGGCCTGGGGGGGAGGGGCTGGCTCCCTGGGACGCCCCTGATGGAGGGTGCCTTTGGTCATGTCTATGTAAGACTGTCCAAACCTGTAAAGAATTCTTATAAGATTTTATTTGAGCCAAACTGATGTCAGTGCCAGGAAGCAAATCTCAAATGCTCCCGAGAATGGCAGTTTTGCAGTTTCTTTTATATATTTGGATTAATAGGGAACATAGGGAAGATTGCACGAAGGTGGGAGAAAGCAAGATATAGGATAGTTAACAAGATCGTGCGCTCCCTTGAGGGTGGTTATACCTTGGAGGAGTCTGAAAAAGAAAATTCTGGCATTTCAAAAGTGTATTAACCTAGATGCACAAGAACAATGGACAGGGATGGCTTAAAACCTTTTACTAAAGAAGTTATAGGCCTGGGGCATAAATTTATGATTAGATCACCCTATGAGGTTACCTCTGCAGAACCCCCTTTTCCTCTAGTCAGTGTTCTGACCCAGCCAGGGAAGGGCCCCCAGGGCCTCCCACAGCACCTGCTTTATCTACCCACTTCTCTCCAGCTTACTGGAGGACTTTGGACAAGTCCAAGGTAGCTGCTGGGGCGGCAGTGCCGAGCTTTAGATGTCAATCTCAGCTTTACCACTTGTGAATTGGGTGCCCTGGTGTGAGCGGTCTCCCTCTCTGTAAAACGGACAACAGTGCATGTGACCCCCGGGGTCTGTCTGTGCTTAGGAAAAGGGCCAGCTCCCACCCAGCCTGGCAGCTCGGTGGCGTGCCCTCTGCGGGGCTATGTACATGGATGCCTCAACTCCCACCATCACTTCTCACCCTCCTGCCTTTGTCCTCAGGAGTAGCTATGAGTAGTTCTGGATTGTCTGCTCCTTTGCCCCTCATTCCTGATTCTGACTTGGCTCCTGCCTCACCTTACACATTTAGGTGTGCTCTTGCCCCTAGATTCCCCCATCCTCTCCTCTCTTCGTCCCTGAGCTCTTGCTCTGTGAGATCCCACCAGGGCTGTCATGTTGCTACGGTGATATGATTCTTATTCATGTTTTCAGGGTTGAGTGGCACTGTGAGCTTCTGCTTGTCTCATTGTCCCTCTAGTCTTTTCTAGATGTCCTATTTGCCCCTGACCTTCTCCCTCACATGAGAGCTTTCTCTTATTCCTTAAGTTACTAGAGCCCAGAGAAAGAGAGTAGGCTCTGCTGAGGAATTTATGGCTAGGTCCTGATCAGTGGGAAGGGTGCCAGTATCCATTAGCAATGCCTGTCAAGGGAGCAGGATAGGAGAAGGTCGTATGAGGTTGTCTACATGACGCGACGTCCTTGGTAGTGGACACCTGCTTTGGAAAACTATATGGAAATGGAGGGGCCAAGAAGATGGTGAAAGTTCTGTGCAGCTGGCAGGCGACGCTTCCTCTGGGTGGGAAGAAAGTAGCATGCCTGCGGGAGAGTGCGTGACCCTTAAATCCCAACTTATTTAATTTGTACTCAGGTGGAGGTTTTCAGGCCAGGCAGCCAGAGTATTTGATTCCTCTTATTTCCTGGGTCTCATATTCTGCGCAGGCTATGGGGGTGGATAATACATCAAGACATTCTGGATAAGGTTGCCAGATAAAATGCAGGGCACCCAGTTAAATTCAAATTTCAGATAAACAATGAGTCATGTTTTTAGTCTAAGTATGTCCTGTGCAGTATTTGCTAAATCTGACAAGCTTACCTCTGCAGCCTCATTTATCCAACAGCCAGGGAGGTCACTCCCACGGAAACTATGAAGAACTGCTTCTTGAGGTTTCAGATTGTTCCCATGATTCTATTCGCAGTGGCTGTCGCCCCAGCTGTCGACCCGGCCCTGTTTCTCTTTACTGTGAGACTCTTAGATGCTGCTGCCTTGGGCCTCTGTCTCCTCATCCAGGAGCCAGAGGGGTCAACTTCGTTGATTTATGAGGTCCGGTTCTGACTTACGAGATGCTTACTGAGCCTCTCCCATGTCCCAGAACTTTACTCATTGAGCTGAGACAGTCCCGTGAGAAAGTTATGATGCTTTCTGCTTTGTGAGTGAAGCGGCCAGGCTCAGAGAGGTGCCCTGTGATGTCACTCCAGCCACACAGAGTAGGTGACAGGAGTGGTGGGCTTTCAGGCTCTCCACTCACCCTCTCCTTCCCCGGGGTGCTGCCCAGGGGACCTCTGCTGCTCTTCCTGTTTTATTCCCTTCAGACCTTCTCCTGTCCCATGATGATCTCACACCTGAATGAACTGAGCCATTTATTCAGCATTATTTATTCATTCACTCACTGAGTATTTATTGAACTCCTACTGTATACCAGGCACAGTGCTGGGTGGTAGGGATAGAACGGGGAACAAGGCAAGAAGGGAGAGACATAAATGATTACACAGACCATTATTTGGTTGCAGAGTGGGACAGGGTGGAACTGTCAGTGTATATAACCTGGAGGCTGGGCCTTGACTCAGGGTGGAGGAGGGAGGTGGTCTGGGAACGGGAGCCAGCCCTCCTTCTCATGACCCTGTCTGCCTCCACCTTCCCATCCACCCTTCCCTTCCTTATAACGAGCCTCCCGAGGCTCAGAGAGGTACAGTAACCTGCCCAAGGTCACACAGCACTTTGAGATATCAGACTTCTGCTACTCTCAGAACCACCTCTCCTATCCTTGTGCTGTCTAGAGAAGAGTCCCTGCTTTGCTGCTTTCTGGCTGTGTGACTGTGACTTTCCTTAAGTCTCATCTCCTGCCGGGCCTCAGTTGCCCCATTTGTAAAATGAGGACCGTGATGCTCACTGAGTTAACTGGCACATGTAGGAGAAAGCGGTTTCGTATATTGGAGTTTGATGCAAATATTTTTTATTAATCTGTCTTATTAATAATGGCTATGATAAAGTGCTTTCAAGGATGAATTAGTCACCTTAAATAGCCCAGACTTTCAGTGAAGTCTCTTACCCTAAAAGATAAAAACTAGAAAAGCTGCAGTTTTGGAAGTTCCCTGGGGGCTGGGAGGGTGGGGGAGTGGGCTGCTTCTAGGCACGATTTCTACACATCTGTGACCTTGTCTGGGCCAGCTGATCCCTGTGTGGCCAGGCCTGAAAGTGTCATGCCTGAGGACTGGGCCTGCCTGCCGGGTATTCTGAGGTAAAGGGTTATTCCCAACTTTTTTTTATTTTTAATCAATTTTATTTCATAGTCATAAACATGTTGAGTGCTGGTGATAAAAATAAAACAGTGTCAGTTTTTTAGAATCTTACAATCTAATGGGTGAGACTAATATATAAACATATAAATTACATTAAAATTTGGTGTGAGTTTTTTCCCATTTTATTGAGAAATAATTGATATACATCACTGTAAGTTTAAGGGTATAGCATGATGGTTTGATTTATATATATTGTGAAGTGATTACTACATAGTTTTAGTTAACACCCATGATCTCGTATAACTACAGTGGCCCCCCACTTTTTAAGGTCGTGGGTTGTAGACCTTTTGTTTTCTGTTTGGCCTTTCCAGTCCATTTGAGAAATTCACGTTTCAAACTCCTTTCCAGCCCTACTTGGTCGGGGAAAGGCCCAGGTGAGAATTATTTGATGTCAGGGGAAGTTTGGGGAAAACCTCTAAGCATCTAAAAAGTGAGAATTGAAAGTGTTCATTCTGTCATCAGAGAATTGCAGACTTTTCCTATGGCTCAGGCCCTGGCAGGCTCCAGGGGTCCTAGAAATGATTCTTGCTCTATCCAGCCTGGGAACTCCTAGGCCAGCAGGGAGAGAAATCGGGCATGCATAGGGGTCTTTTAAAGATGTTCTGGGCACACAAAGTCCAAAAACCTTTCCCAGAGGCTTTGAAAAGGTGTACGCCAGGTGGGCACAAGACCAGAAGATTATTACTGATAGAGGCAACTGCTCATGAGCAGGCAGGGCAGAGTGAAAGTGTGGAGTGGGTGCTCCCTGGGCCATAAGGGGTGTGGCCCGGCTGGGTGTTCTGGGGAATAAAGAAGAGATGGATGGGTGATCGAGCCTAATGACCCCAAAATCCCTGCTGAGTGGTGGGTCGTGATTCATTTTGGGGAACCAGCCTGGAACCAGAAGTCTTTTTAATACTTCCAGGTGCCCCTTAAATGAAGTTACTGTTTAGTTGTTTTGACAACTGGCTTCTTAGGAAGAAAAGCAGACAAGCCCAGCCCTCACCCAAACACACTTGTAGGAGAATCGCAGGCATTGCAAGAGGTCCCATGAGGAAACCCACTTTAATGAGATGTCTAACCTAGTTTTGTTGACTCACTTGGTTTTGGGAGCGTATGAAGTACCTTGGGAGGGGGGTGGCAGTGCCAGTGAACTGGCTACTTACTTGTTTGACACAAAACACCTGGTGGAGAAGCTGTTTATTTGGTGTTTTCCCTGCAGGAGAGATCATCCCTGGGTGTAGTTAAGTGTCTATTAACTGTATGAAATGAAAGATGGCTGATCTTTCGGGGTCATACTGTTTCTCCTGAGAGCAAATTCAACTGAGTATTGAGGCACTTCCTTGTACTTTCCCTTGTGTAATGTGAGATGCCCCATTTTACAGATGATGCAACTGAGGCCCCAAGGGGAAGTGACATTCCTGAGGTCACTACTTCCTACAGCTGGCAAATGGTAGAGTTAGGTTCCAGTAAAAATCTTTTTTGGTGACAGCATCGGCAAAAGTGGAACTAGGTCAAGCAATTTTGGGGAAATAGTCTCAGGGGGTTGGGGGCTGCCTGTTGGGGAATTCAGTGAACAAAGCTTGAGAGGCCACTAGGGTCCCTCCTCTCCAGTGACAGTATTGGGCAAGAATTATGTAGAACTCGGCCATCTAGGGGTCAGCATAAATAGATGAGTCAATTAAAAAGGACGGATTTCTCAACTATTTATAGTTGCGGCCTAAAT